CAAGGAGTGAAACCCACATCGAACATCATCAACAGTGCCTGGTGCCTGTGAAAAACCGAACAGGCTAATCCAAACATTCACCATCTAAATATACAGCTATTATCGTTTAGTAATCCAAGTGAGAGCTTATTGAATGAAAGACGTGATGCTGTCTTCGTTCACCGGAGCATATTGTGAACGGATTCTTCCGAAAATATGTGAAATTCGGGGATTGTTATCAGGAATACGTTTTCTGAATCAAAGTTGGGAAATCCCACTTATGCATTCTGTTTGCAGTGTCATATTATTCCATAGCATCCCAACGATCGTCTTCGAACAGTAGTAAATGGTGTGTCCTTGGATAACCCATTTTCAAGCTTCTCGACGAAACGCAGCCTCAAAGATTTTGATGCACATTATTTACTCTGAAGATATTCCTTTTTCGAAAAGTGTATCTTGAAATTAGTTGAATACGTCAACCACTTTGCTTAATCCGTTAGAATCTTCGAGTTTGGCGCATTGCCGATTTCACTGCGTATTTCATCCGAGTGACGCTTGAAGTTCCTAGTCTATAATGACAAGAAACTGAGATGGGTACATTGGATCAGCGCAACGACCGATCAAAGATAAAGAATGCGAAGCTCACGGGCTGATTGCCCTGGCCTGTGAATGCGTGTGTGTGTGGGGGAGGGAGTGAAGAAAAGAGAGGAAATAAGTGTGCGAGCGTCACAGGCATAGAGATCATGGAACCAGTAAAGCCATTTAGTGAACTTAGGGGATGTGCGAAAGAAGGGGCCGAAAATAACGGTTTGTTGACCAAGTAAAAAGAGGTTAGCAATGAAAGTGGTGATTCTGTAATTCAGGATCAGAACTGAATCAGCAGGTTTGAAACAGGACTTCTCGCACTCACACGTAATGTGCAAAGGGTACACAGGAAGACAATTATGTTAATACTGTAGAACTGTCCAGAAAGCCGTTGAATGACAATCGTTTTCCGATACAATGTTCATGTCTGAAATAGCATCCGTGCGCCCACATATGGATTGAAGCAGAAGCGGGAACGTTTGTGAGGGAGATCAAAATGGACAAACTTGAATGGGAATGGATCAACAATTGGGCTGAACCCGTTAGTGATATTGTAAAACTGGATTAGGCGCTTAAAAGGCTCGACGATGTCATCTGAAACGTATTCCTTTTTATGGTTCACCTGTCGTCTGTGGCTGTACGGAAAATTGTGTAATAAACAGAACACTACTAGATTTGTTTCAGTAGTTAGAGACTGAATGTTCGCTGATTCTCAAATGTGCGCTCGTGCTTTTAATAAATAATGGGTCAAGTTATGTCAAGAAACGCTTTATGCTTCCAGTGGGTGAGTTTTCAGTAATTTACAACTATAAACATAATGATATAAAAAATATTCCCACAAAAATGAAATTAATTCGATAATGTAGTAGAAGGAAAAAATAGTTCGTCTTTCCCTGAGGTGGGTGACAGTAATCTTGCGATTAACCGAGAGCCGTGAAAGGTGTGGGATTGCACCGTTTCTGTCTGTGAAAGTACACACAGGAAGGAGTTGATATTTGAAGCAAGTTCGGGGATTCGTCACCACTTTCACGATTTTGGGATGCAGACAGTTCCTTGGTCACGTGTTACCTTTTCAATAAACGCACAACAAGCGTCGAAATGCTTGGAAATAAAAACTCAACCCAAACGACTCAATCGATTCGGCTATATAAGGACGAAAGTTTGAATGATCCAACGAACAAGTTGAAATATTTTTCTTTCTGATCAGTAACAAATATCCGGGAGTATTATAAAAAGTGCGAAAGGATGCCGGGAATCACGAGTGTGATAGTAAGATTATGTGGAACGGCCAGTTTCCCGAGTCTGTACGTATAAAAGGACAGTCTTTGAACTTCTGTAAAAAAACGCTAATACAACGAGCAGACTCGAACAATTGTGCGCTGAACCGAGCTATTTAACAAAACCCTGTCAGGTTTCTGATCGAAGGCTTTATCGTTTCTTCCGCCGTATTACCTAACTGTTGACAGCAACACAATGTTCTTTAGTCGCGAAATGAATAAATCCGCAAACAGAGAGAATCCCATTACTACTTCAGCCTTCTGGTGATAATTTTTTCATTGAATCTAAACCGAATGTTCTGTGTGCAGAAATACAACTATCTTAAGTCTTCCAAGGGCATTCTATTTTCAATATTCAATGGTCTCGGTGATAGGAACGCTCAAAAAAGTGACTTGACAACTATGTTTATTATTTGTTGGTTTCCTACATTCGCGTTTCGCACGACATGTATTCAGGAGAATAGGATAGGATTTGTATGACACACGACTAAGTTAACTTTTTCAGTTGGATCCAGTCATTCACCAAGGCATGAGTGTTTTTGTTGCACCAGTTATATTATAATGTTCACAGAGACGGGTGTTTGTGTACGCGTTTCAGCTTTACTCGGTACAGCAACATTTCGGTACACCGGCTTTAATTATTGTATTTTGGTTTGCCTGCTACTGCAGAAGAGTGAGAATAACCGAAAACCTGAGTTTAGCCTTGATACACGGATAGCATGTGTGTAAAACAAATTCGAGTCGGTGCACGAGCTCGTTGGTTTACATTGAATTCGAGAGTGGCTTAATGCACTCCTATGGATGGAAATCAAGACAGGGTTTTCAAGATTATCCGGTTTTAGACCCTGGTTTCTTCGAAATTCTGTTTGATAGCCGTACTGGAATTAGACACAGAATTACAGTCGCAACGCGAGCTTAACTATAATATCGTTGCACCAAACGCATTCGGTGCTTGCGGAGGAGGATCGAGGCAGAAAAATATCCAAAGGTGGTCGATAGTCAGTATGACAGAATGGAAGTAGGATTGTTGAACTGATTTCTTTTGGGTTTAATTTTACGTAGTACGAGAAACCTCGATTATTGACTGTGAACTATATGTATATTTTCACACACGTCTGAATCCAGACTGTGCCAAACAAATTTTGGTTCAATAAGATTTATGAAAGAGGAATACGTTCCATAATTTGCATGTGGGCGGAATACTGCTAGGTTTCCCAGACGACGGCAGGTGCACTCTCCTGAGAAATCCACCGCCGGAGCCTTAGGCTAGTCAAAGCCTGACCCACAAGGCAGCGGGTTGGTGTGCTAAAATCGCAATCATCGGATTATACGCCCTTTGGACGGGTTTAAACGTCCAAGATGTCCACTGCCACAACCAGGAAGGAGTGTGTGTATGCCTCGTACGCCTCTTCTTGCTTGGGTTCGATCCAGGGTTTTTAACCATCTCCCCTAGGTGAACTATCAGTGGTCTACTAGCTCGATTGTAGCTCCGGATATCGGCTTTTCGTTCACTCACTTTGTTGCGAAAACACGTTCGCCACGTGAAGGCAGTGAGTAGGGCCTCCTTGGCAGAGGTCATTCGAGAAGCTTGGTCGTATGGGAGCATTTCGCGAGGTGCAAAGGAAGGGTGACCAGCCGAAACCCTAGATACACCCACACAGGCTTTTGGAGGTATTGACTGTGAACTGAACTCTCCTGTAGCGAGAATAAAGTAAGAACAGGCTTGTTAGTTTCAAAGTTCATGAAAATATACAACAGGTTGAATCGTTTTAACTGTATTCGCGTTTTACAATCGTTACTATCTAACAAACCGATAACTTGGTTCAATTGTTGTAATGACCAAGGCACGGATTTGATTTCGCTCATCAGACATATAAAGCATACCTTGATTCGATTTCACGAACGAGGATAAACCTTAGTATGCGACTATATATGAATTGAATAGATAATAAGTCTACTATTGATTTATTTTTTCACCTCTTATTTGCTTTGGTTTTTAATCTAACCAGCACATACAATTACTGTTTTTTTAATATTTCCGAATACCTTTCGTAGGTTGTCACATTGGTTGTTTATCTGTATCTGGCCATCCTCGTATTATCACAACAGTTCGCCGATCCGGCAAAGGTTCTCCAAGAATACGACAAAGAATTGCTCAGTCTGCAAAGCGCTTGCAACAGCACAGCCAACGCGTTCTGTGGTACAGCATTTCTGACTCCCCCTCCGGCAGAGGTTGGTAATGTTACTCGACCCGGTAATTCAACTGCATTCATGAATCAAAACAACGAAAGATCAGTTAGTTTGCTGTCCGCCCTATCCGTGTCACCGAACATCCCCGTGTTTGCCATCTTATCTTTGATTTGCTACGCTGGTTGGCTTCGCGTAGCCGAGTCCCATGTGTTCCCGTTCGGTGATGAAGACGATCACTTTGAAACACTCCCCTTGATGGACCGTAACTTTAAGACCAGTCTATGGTTTGTGGATCACATGATCCAACCTGAACAGCTCCCACCTCTGCTGCAAATGGCTAGTGTGTCAGACCTCGCGCCCAGTAGAGGCAACGGTGAAGCTGTGGTTACTCAAGACTCGTTGAACTTTCTCTCGCCGAATATTGTCAACCAAAGAGCGATGGGTTGGAAGAGAAAAATAAAACGTCCTACCCAACTGAAAAATAGTGGGTCAACCGAGTTGCCGGTAATTGCTATCACTGCACCGGATGATGAGCCGTCAATTCCGGAACTTCCCTGTCCGTCTGAATTGCGTCGACGGGTTTCTCGACACTTTTTTGCTGGTTCTATGACCAGAGTGTACGGCGATGAGTCGTCCACTACCAACCCGTCCTTAGATCCGACCACCACCAACAACAATCTACGTCCGTCTCTGCCCATATTCAGTACCAATGATTCACTGGCACAGCCTGTGTATTGGACCGGATCCATGGGTATGTCTTTCCTGGGCGATACAAACCCACGTGCATCCAACTCCCGACGAATGTTCTCCTCCGCCACTACGGCATCTTCCGATCCAGATGGTGAATCCACGCCCAATGTTGTTCGTTTATAACCGAAGACAACGATATGAAAAATCCAGTTAGATCAAAACCAATGTGAGTCATTCCATGACCGCGTCATGTCCAAAGACTCACATGAAAATTACCTGTCCAGACAGAAGTTACGTCTTTGCACGGTGCAACAGCAGTACAGTACCGTAACTTTTGCTTTTTACACGTTCTTGTGTCTTCCTTTCCGAAGAATCAACCTCCGAGACAATCAAACGACAGGTGATTATTTTGATTTGTATTGAGTTTGAATCTATGCACGAGACAACACACCGAAAAGATCTTAGGTTTTTATCGCCTTGTGCAACAAATTTTTACTCCCAGAACTACGTTATCCTTTTTTCGTCTAATTCTGTTGATATTTATCTTCTTTCTTCTACTCACCAATAAAAAGTTCTTTGACTTGTTACAGATCAAGCTGTTTTTATTCTATGAAAGTCCTCCGCTGTCATATAACATCGACGAATGCCCAACAGAAAACGAGGGAAACGTACTCTCACGCCTAACCGCTGTCCCGTCTTTACTATGGCCTGTTTGAGCGGTGTTATTCCCGAGAAAAAAAGCAGGAAACATTTGACCCCGTTTATCCAATTCGTTAGAACAAAAAAGAGAAATACTGCGAGCTGTTAACATTTCTCTCCTCAGTCGCTAGAGCGTAAAAAGATCTGATAATTATGCAAGAAAAATTTAAACACCACAGTGGGTGAACGCCCAATGCCACTCTACATGTCGTCAACCAGTTCGCATGCAGTTGCAGTGACCACTACATCGGCAAAATGAATTAACCCGTCACAACGGATGTGTGAACAATGTGCCAAGTGGTTAGTACAATTAGTGACTCAGAACGGTCTTAGAGGTCAATCTGGTAAGAGAAATCCAGGGTCACCAGAACATCTCACTACAACTGGACACAGTTGAATCACTTTTGTCGTTCAAGCGGTAACGGAATTCCAGGCTCTTAGCGTTCAGCCAGGCGATGCTAATCCAGTTACGTAATCCATTTTTGTACGAAACATTTTCTGACGCAATCTGTCAACTGATTCTCCCCCGCTCCGTTGAACCACGGTAATTATCAAAGCTTTCTTGTATAAATACCGAAATTTTTCCAACCGAGTCCTTACCCTGAGGCTAGCGCTGAGATGAGCAAGGTCCGTGGCCTACAACAAGCTCGCAAAGATGGGTCGTGTTATATCGGGTAAATGGAAAACGAAGAACTGTCTGATCATCTGCTCGATGGCGGAGTGGGTAGCATGCTTGCGTTATATCCATGAGGTCTCGGATTTGACCTCCAGTTGGGTAGATGGATTCGCACTACTAATGAGACCCAACCAGATCAAAACAGCTGCCGTGTTTCCTAACTTTCCATTTCACGCTTCATTTGCTATATAAACGACGCATTTGGCCATTGAAATATCGGATAGTTTTACGTTTTTGCGACCGAGGAGATTAAAGGAAATGTTAGCATGTCACAGTATTTATCTTTTGTCTGCTCTAATAAAAGAAAACAATGTGATGTAACTTCAAAGGTATAAAATTTATACACGGGTCATGTGTTCATGACACATACGTCGGTCAGAGTTGCAGAAAATATGGGGACTTGGTGCAAACCATGATTTCCAAGTTCGGCTAACTGTTAAGAACTCGTTTATGGACCAAACAAGAGGTGTTAGAAGTTCACAATGTCGAGTTCGACCGGGTAATTGAAAGTCCTACATGAACTGTCCCGTTCGGTTGTCAGTTCACCAATTGGGACAAATATAAGTACGCTCGAGTTTCGATAACCGTTTCCCATTCGTCTGTGAGCTTACAGAGAGATCAGTCGACAGAGTTAGTTTTGTAACGTTCTAGGTGTGCAGTCAGCGATACATGTTAACTGCCTGTATGGAGGCAATATCGCATCAGCTTTAAAGTGGAAGTTTTTCACACAGTCAAATAAAGTATACTTCTTAAATAAGCTTGTTTTTTCAATCTTTTCATCGTCGAAGAAAATGTTGATGTTAGAAACTTTCGTAATGCTTCTCAACATTTTTTCACCTCTTTTGGGGGTAACTATGATCTGCGTCACTCCCACCAAAGGAGTCACTGTCCAGGATAGAGTTGTCACAGTTTACCTGGGACTTTTTGTCTCGAAGCTCTCGCCTGCATTATTGGTCCGCATGTGTGTAATTACTCGGCAAATCAAAGCTTATTACTTAACGGGCTTCCGGAAAAGCACACTAAGAGTCAGGAACTCACCTCCATCCTCCTCTGTTTCCTCGGGAAACATGCTTCCACCGTATGATTCCCCCCGTATACTAGACGATACAGTCAGGCTGCTGGCTGAAACGTGACACGGTCATTTTATATCCGGTCGCGTATGCCCGCATGACGGTTCGTTTGTCGAAGCCATGAGCATCTGGACGTATATTTCCAGCGCGAATAGAAAACCAATTTGACGGGACCATGCTTCCGTATCACAGGTAAAAAATAAGCGTATATGGTCCCATTCACGTAGATTACCGATAGGTATTCCAACGCAAATGCAACAACTAATTTGCACTTACACAAATAGTTGCTCACTAAGCCAGGTATAACGTGTTCAATTGATACTTTGAAAGAATGATCTAAGCACATTGAATCAATAAAGGGATTGCTTGTGTCTTTATAGCAGCTCCGGTACGTTCACGTTTCGCCGTAATCTTGAAGCCAAACCAATTCTTATCAACTCCTACATATCGACAAAATGTGTACTGATAATCCAAAATTGTATACAGGTGGGTTTCACAAAATCAACCGTCAAAAGCGATTCACCTCACGAAAGTGCTGACAACATAACTATTGAATATGTTGCTTAGTTTTTATACTCAGTTGGTAAAGACATTCCAGCTACTACGGCTCTATAACATAAAACAGCAAGCCCAAATCGGGCCTGACCTTCCAGTCGCGCACCGCCTTCTTTCACAAAGAAAATCATGTAAGCACTAATAGATGTGAACCGAACGGGGTCGGGTTGAATCAGAGTAACAGGAGTGGTCAAACGGCTATTTGGAATCAGAAATCCAGCACAAAATGTCCTATCCACGGGTTCAATGACAGTGGGAGACAACCAATGAAGACAATTTAAACGTCAGTGGTGAGCGAACACCCACCCATTGTAGTAAGATATCAGCTCGGTCGGTGACGCAATGGAAGTACCGAAGAACTGACAGAAGACAGGGCAATCTCTCAGCACTGATGACCAAGAAACGTCACCAATGTATCACATTTCGAGGAATAAGAATGTGCCCGTTCGCTCCACAAATATGACATCAAACTAACTTCACGGGAGGTTTTAGTTATTTGGATAGTCACAGATGAGTTATTCAATACAAATCAGACCATCTTCGTGACAAAAATGAGCAATAAATGTAACCAAAGCGATGGATTGTTATCAGATTGCATAACTGTAGCCCAGACGACTTCGTGAGGAAAGAATGCGCTTCCATTTCATGTGCTGCCTCAAATCGCTAAGTAAACTAAAGTTAATGAAAAAATTGGGAAAAATAATCAAGCGCATTTTTCAATAAAAAGCAAGCAAAAATAGTAGTGAGAATAATTGTGAAATGGAAAAAGAAAAGCGGCAGGCAGAAATAGTCCGCTAGATGGAGGGTTAAACCACCCATAATAGACAAAGAATACCGAAGTTTTTATTCGCACTGAATTGTGGAACGATGAGACACAGAGGCAAAGATTCGAGTATGTAAAACCAACTACTTTGCAGCGACCTGTTCTGTAGATCCACGGGCAGCTTGTTCCACCACTTGCATCACGTGCAGGCACATTTCGTCACGCCACGGAGCGGCTGCGACTTGTACGCCAACGGGTAAACCAAGCGTGTCCACTTGTAGCTAAATAAGAGCAAAGCACAGATTATAGAAAGGGGGTTGGTGTAACGAATCGGATGGAAGAAGTAGCGCAGAGTGCAAGAGTGATCAACAAAGTGCACAAACACCACCCAAAAAGTTTCCTCTTATAGTTATTGATGCGAAACCAAGCGAGCGATAAAAAACTAAAGCAACGCATCAGCTTGCGAGCCAATGAACATGCGTTTGACTGGAGTGTGACATACACCGAGATAATCCATTTAAACAGGATATTGAACACCTCTACTGTCTCAGTGCTAGAGGGAAATGATAAAACTCGGAGGTATTTTACATGAAAAATGCATAACTGGACAACACTTCAATTACATTCGGGACTTAGAGCAAGTTGTATCGGTCGCAGCGTAACAAGGGACGAGTATCGTTATTTATTTAATCGTTGAAGTCGAAGCAAATGCACATAAATACATAAAATACGTTGCATGTCAACGAATAGTGCGCGCAGCAGTACTGTATTTCAGTCAGCAGTTTACCATCACAATGTCCATGCGGCAAAATGGACAAAGATAGTTGCAATGGTCACTACCCCGATTCCGCATAGGTGTTTCAGTCCTCTGTACACCTGTTAAGTCAAAGTGAAGTGTATTCCAGAATAGAAGAGTTGAAAGTTGACTAAGGTTATACGGTTGATTTCGCCGTGTACAGAGCAAACGAAGTGTGAACTCCAAAGTTAAGGAGCACTGTTATAACCATCAGCAGTGTGCGAATTCATCGACCCAACTGAGGATCGCAAACAAGGGACATCAACAAATGCAGAACACAAGCACACTACCCATCATGTATAGACAAAAGGCCACAACGCTGTGATCAGCTGCCCGATGCCAAACCAGACCAGTGTATACAATATGTGAATAGCTGAAACAAAAAGAGGAAGGCTAAACGTAATAATGGATTAAGCAAGCTATTGTGATTTTGGCGGTCACTTGACGGTGCATTGAAAAATAAAGTAAGTGATACAATGAATAGCTGAATGAATCATCGTGTTTGCTCAAGGAGGGATTAGTGACATTAAGAACAACCCACCAGACTTTTTATGACCCTGACCTAACCCTCATCCGGTAGACTGACTCTTCGTATCACTGCATGCAACTGTGTTCTACCTGGATGCATGAAAACACCACATTGTGCAGACAATACTAAAAACATCATTAACCCGCTATAACAAGATTAACACAATAGGACCGGACTTGCATTTTAAAACATATGGTAGTATACGAACGCATACCTCAGCAGCTGCTTTTTGCCATGGGGTATGAATCGGATACGGAGTCACACCGGCATTTTTCTCTCTATATTCTGGATCCAGTGCCGCACGCAGTGGGGCCAGATCGGCCTCGGTCACTCGAATTCCAGAAGGAACGCAACCGGCGGGCATATTGGTCACATTAAATAGATTCAGATAAGACAGCATTCCGGAAAATCTGCGATTCGTTCGAGCGGGAATGGGAGCAGCCATTCCGAAAGACGGACAAATAACTGCGTCCAATTTGGCCTCGAGCCAACTGTCGTAAATTTTATATCGAAATTCTTCCAAAGCGTGCATATGACTGACCAAAGTGGGTACGTCTCGCACGGAGTTGATCGCGCGCATATAGAGTAAATCGTCCGGATGACCAAACTGGGAGGCAATAATGGAACAAAATCGCGACCATGAATCGACGAAAAAGATGAATAGGAACAAACAGTACTCCAGCATTTCTTCTAACACCAATTGCATTCGATAACATCAAGTTACACGTGGAAATTGTTGCAAATGAACATGTGGCAAGAATGACGAGTTATTGTAGTCATTCTTATAGAAGGCGATTCGCTATACAATGTACGCACACACACACACAGTTCAGTTCTTACAACCATTAACCATGCACTTTCGTGCGCCAGTTTTGGTTGCCGATTTGGATAAAATACACACACACACACACACACATATATATATATATATATATAATATTGGAAATGGAAATCTATTTCCAAAACGAAAGTCATGTTGCAAGAGTCCGATCAATACCTGTGTATGTGCCCCCCGCGGTAACCTTGCACTTCCGCAATTCGAATTTGTCTGCTTCTTTTAGCAACCCATTCGATGAATTGAGGAAGAAAAGAGCAGACGAATAATCGAAAGTTTGCATGTTACAGAGACAGCACATGAGAACTATACGTTTCGTGACTACCGCTTACGGCATACAGCACTAACGTAATGTCTCTAAACTTGAAATACGTTGAACCTTAGTATTACAATCGAGGAACCGGAAACAAGTAATTGTTTATCCAGCTTCGGTCTGTGAGATGCATTTTTGCGCTTGTTGATTGGAGAAGCTAGATCATGTAGTAGCGATAACGTTCTTGCTGAGATGTGTATGCACCATGAGCCCATGACTTGCATGTGTTGGTCCCAACCTTAACGTACTTTTCCCCAACCAGACACTCTCTTTATCCACCTTATACACTCGCGTTTGGTTAGTACGCCATTATGAGCTTGAAAACGATCTGTGAAGTCCATTCGTCTGTATATTAAACGATATCTACCATAATAATGCATCATGCGCACCGTGTCCGAATGTCTGATGGATTGGATGAACAGAACAATCACACTTTCTCTTTCTTACGCGATTCTTTGGTAAAGTTAAGGGCCTCTCCTAATTGATAACACAAAAGACTCAAGCAAAACTGTCGGTATGTTCAGTTCATCATTACACTTTGTGTACCTGAGTTCATCATAGCTAAAACAAATGGTTCAGTTATTCTGCAAATTTGCCATTTAGTCTACACCAAAATAGTCATAGTCGTGCGGATAACTCGGTTTAGTAAACTAGCGGTCAATTAAAGACTCAAGATCTATCTATCGCCATTCGTAACTGCTATATTTGCCGTAGATTCGCAGCACTGTTACTGACCATTCCGCTCAACATCTGTGAACAGCGTTCACACCTGTGCACGTTGGCTTACCTTACATCGCCCTCCGGAAGTCTTCACCCATGAGTAACAACAGGAAAAGTTGAGTTGTCCGCATTGTTTTTAATAACAGTGATGGGCAATTCCGGGACTCCACGTTGAAGCCCAGCACTCTGAGTTTCCATTGAAAAAGGATATATCAGAGAGGACGGAGGGCGAATTCAGTCTTTGGTCAGTTACGTCTCAGCGCAGCAAATCTTGCACTCAGTATCGGCAAACACACAGAGGGCCAAATCGCATCGATTAAGTGAGCTTCATTGTACGAAATGCGTTTGGTGAATTCTCGTAAAGTACGTCCTTGGAATTTGGTATGCATATAGGCGAGATCAATCTAATCCCGCTAACAGAGTCTCAAGGGCGAAACGATTAATGCAAACACCTGGTGATCTTCATTGCTCATAACTGTAAAGAACTTTCCGGCATAGGTGAGATAAGATCTCATATCTGTTCCATTTTTTACAAACAGAGAGGTAAGCGACCCCAATCAGTAGATGTCCGTGAAGATTTCTCTATTGACATTTCCAACAGGGTTCAAATCGGGACTGTGCACGGCCGAATTAATAATCTTAGTGTTTCTATGCAGTGAACACATTTGCGGACGCTAATGGTATGTGCGACGACGTTGTTTTCTTAGAAAATCATTCATCTCGCTGATCTTCCGAAATTGCAGATGAATGGAAGTGGTTTACAGTTCTGATGTGCAGGTCATTTATCTGCTTTCCTTCGAGAACCTCCATTTGTGATTTTGCATCCACGAGGATAGTAATATAAGCCATCACAGCACCACCGCCGTAGGTCTGAGTGGTTGAAGCCAAGATCGCTTTGCTGCGTATCAGACCAGAAGTAAAGTAATTTATTGGGTCGTCCAAGTTAAACATTTTCTTCTATTTCAAATTCCATTCTAATCCATTCAAAACTTCATCTGGTGCGACTTTCTAAATAACACACTCAATCTGTCACATGACATTAAGTTATACAGTGTATTTTCACATTCGTACACCTCGTCGATGCACTATTGCCTTCTCGGAGATTTTTCTCCGTACATCGTATCAGATCTGCTGTGTGTGAGCAGTCATAATCCACATTTTTACACAATTGCTCTCACATCTAGTCCAATGTTCGCACATTAATTGACTTGAAAAAGGTGTTCGAAGACAGTTGAAACATGCGCACCGAAGATCGCTCTTCCTCGTCGTGGTTAATTCAATAATTCGGATCGATTTTTCCCTTTACTGAGCAGCAGCAGTAAAAGTGTTTAAAAATCTGAATATCCTCCTTATTCTTCTACCTAACTCCCTGTAGGCAGGTACCATATACATTTCCCAACTCAACCCTCAATCGTGCGGAATTCTACTGATTTTACGAATAAATTTCCGAATTCACAATTGGAGTCAACGAACTGTGTGAAGTCCTTTCTCAAACCAGTGACGATATAGAACACTCTCAGTCAGACAATAAGGAGCATCACTCTAGACAATGATTATACACGTGACTTATTCTGCCCTCGAACTGAGCACTTGTTCTTCAGTTCTCAAAAGGTGTGATAAAAGTAGTTCAGATGCTTCAGGCAAGTAAGTTATCTGGGGAAAAATCCATGTTCCTAAGCCAAATTCCAAACATATATACATAATGGTGAGACAATANGAGAAATTGTAGAACAATGAGAATGCGCTAATTGCCTTTTTATTGCTATTCGGTTCTCATACAGAATCGCACTTGAGAGCAAAAAAAGACACGTTGAGGGACCGCTAAGCACTTAGCTTCGTGTACCGGGGGGGGGTACATAGCGGTAATCGTTCTAATTTATCTAGGCACATGAAGAGGCGCCAGGGTAACCAAATTATTTTGAGATTAAATGTAAAGTGGTTGCACTGTGGGTGCTAACAAACCGTGATTGTTGCTTTTGTTTGTTTCTTTTTCACAGTCGCCACTTAGTTGATGGCGTCACACTAAGAAAGATTTGGATGGCAAGTTTAACACTCAATGTGCATTGAAATTGCCAGCTGCTCGTCACACTCTGATCCCACAACTCAGCTCCTGAATCGATAACGCTCTCTGCATCATTGTTTTAGGAGCAGGGCAGGACAAAGCTTTACCTTTATTCGATAAAAAAGAAGCGTACAATCAGCTGTCTATAGGTTTTACATAACCAGCTAAAATTCTACAGGTTACATTTATTGATACCATCACCCACGCTCCAATGCAAATCACAGTACGTGCGGAGGGATTAAACATTACTGATTCTTAATGTGGAAAAGAAAGCTACTAAAAGTTCTTAAATGAATTTGCTTTTGCTTGGAACTCGAAAATCCAAATACGATGAAACGATTCCCGACTCGAAACGTAACAGTTTTCTTTACAAAAATGGTGGATCAGAGGGATTTTAGCCTATTATATTAAAGAAATGCATAACCAAGCACCCTGTTAAATATTCTGTCTTTCTCAAAGCTCAATAACTGATTCCTGGAGACCAATCAGTATCATATCCAACAACTCAGCTAGAAAGACCCCAGAAAATTTCGTCCTATAACGCGTACTTCGACTACACCGAAAATATTTAAGATACTTTTATAAAGTTAGCCCCTTCTCCCAACGAGCTGAACACATACTGCCTGAGCTCAGACTTTTATCCACAAATCACTACTGCTGCCTCGAAAGTTTTTCATCTGGTTCAGGTGGAGTGGCAAGGAAGCTGATCAGGACATTTGTTCCTTACTTAGTTCGACTATCAGACGACTTTGTGGATTGATCAGAGAAGAAGTTAGGGAATATAGCATAAACTGACATCCTTAGTACTACTCAGTCTTTCTATTTGAGGATACGCTTCTAGCCGCCTGCACAGTAAAAGGCTACTTATAGGGCAATG